ATTGACTATTATTTATTTAAGTTTGGTTTTAGTTGAAAACCACATGAAGCAGGAAATCTAGAATCAGCTGCTTAAGAAAATTAATTAGTATTAAGAGGGATTATAAAAATTAAAGAAATTGAAAGCCTGCCTTGCACACACACACACACACACACACACAACACACACACACACACACACACACACACGGTATGCTGGTACACAGAAAATTTAAATTTCTTCTCCACAAGATTATTGCCCAGATCACTTCAGGGTGGGAAAGAAAAATCAATAGTCTAAGTGACTTTGGCTTCACACTTTTTCTCCTCAGGAATGACTTTATTATAGTATAATTAGCATGACACACCTCACTGATTTACAGTGTACTATGGGTACATAGTGAGTTATGCAAGTGTGTTTCCATAAATGACTCTGGCTTATTTAACCCAGAGATGCTTTCCTACGGCAGCTCTCTGTCTTTTCAACGTGTCCCTCTCTGTCTCTGTCTCTGTGTGTGGGTGCATGTGTGCGTGCAAGGTTGTGAGTGTGTGCATGTATATGCATGTGTGTGTTCATGTGTGTGTCCTTGGGTGTGTATGTGTGTGTATGTATGTGCATGTGTGTTAATGTGTGTGTGTGTGAGTGTTACATTGTGTGTAGATCACAGGATAACATTTGGAAGTTAATTCTGTTCTTCCAACTTGTCGAGACAGTTCTCTCCTGTACTTTTTGCCATTCTGGGCACTCCCGATGAACTGGCCCTTCAGCTTCTGGGTAATTCTCCTGTGTTGGGATTTCAAAAGCATGTGCTGTATTCACCTTTTTGTGGAGTTCTTGAATTTAACTCAAATCTTCAGTGTTGTGGAGCCAGCTTGTTACCCTGCAGAGACACCTTGCTGGGCCCTGGATCGTTTTCAGGGCCTTTTTCTTGATATGTGGTTCAAAGGATCAAATCCAGAGACTTCTATATGTTAGGGAAGAGCCTGGTAGGATTTTAAATATAAAAGCATTTCATTCACTTACAGGCTCTCTATCTATCTATCTATCTATCTATCTATCTATCTATCTATCTATCTCTTTCTCTCGTCAGAACCTGCTCCAAGGAGTCAGCTGGGTTACCTGAGCAGGGGCATGAGGATTGAGAATTGCCAGATAAAGAAACATAGACAGAAACACAGGATAGATTCAGGAGGACTGCCCAGTCCGTGCCTTTAAGCACACCGGACACCCCAAGTTTAATTTAGACCCTGTTTATTTACAGACTAGAGGCACAAAGAAGAAAGAGCAGCATAGTCAGTTAACCAGCTCCCTGCACTGCCCTTGAATCATGGAGCAGCCAGGTTCACTGTCTATCACATGAGTCCTGCTACTAGAAAGCAGCTGCATTCCCTATCTCTATGTGCCTTTTGGCTGGCATCAAAAGCTTGTTAGATAATGTGTTCTTTTCCCTAGGCTTCATCAGAATTTTCTCATGACTCTCAAGCAGACTGAAACAAGCAAGCTTGAACTCTAATGTCAGAAAAGACTCCAGATGGAAATTGAGTCACCTGTGGGCTCCCACACTCTCTCTAGTTCTATTTCTCTGAGGATTCAAGCCCTGTATTAAATAATAGTTGAGGGATGGTCACCCTTGGCTGTATCCTATATTTAGAGGAACTAACTTGAATTATTCCCTATTGTGTATAATGCTGTTGGTAGGATTATAACAATAGCCTTGATTTTGTTCAGGTGTGTGCTTTCTCTTCCTGGTTTGTTCAGGGTTGTAATCAAGAATGAATTTAGTTTTTCAAAGACTCCATCTATTGAAATTACAATTTGATAGGATACAAGAAATTACCTTTTTATTTGTTAAAACTTACATCATATAAGATGTGATCTTTCCTGGCAAAAATAGATGAGCTGTTGAGGAGAATGTGAACTCATAGATTGTATAGAATATTAAGGAGTCCATTTGATCTACAGCATAGTTAACTCTGAAGTTTGTGGACTTGTGAGTGCCTGGACATTGTTTGAATGGGAGTGGTGTATTATACTAAACCTGGGAGGACAGAGAATGTTATCATTTCCCTTGTGGAAGGAGGACACACAAATTGGTTGATTCATATTTTTAGGATACAACTTATCTGATAGGAGAAAAGGTGTTCTCCTTAGGAAAGGGGGAGGGAAGTAAACACAGGAGAAGGAGAGGTGCAAGCAAAGTAACAATATGGATGGATGAAACAGCCTCAAGGAATCTCACTATTAACTGTTTACCTGAAACAATAAAAGCTATAATGTCCACAATTCAGTGTATGCATATATTATTTTAATGAAGCTTTTTCATCTAGGCATATGGAGCTCTCAAAGGCCACCTAACAAAAACAAAATCAAAGACCATACATGAGAAGCCCTCTTTTGAGTTGTTGGTGAGGTCTGTATGACACTTCTAGAACATACAGTCTCTTGTTATTGTCCTTAGTTATCCTCCAGAAGTGGGTGCTAATTCCACATTGCTGAATACATTATGATCTTCAGACACAGGACCTGGAGTCTCCTGAGCTCTAACTGACTTGGATTCTTGCCCTGCCCACCCTGCCCCACCCTAAGGACTATCTTTCATGGAACTAGAATGCATAATGAAGCTTCCAAAGGAGAGAGGCAACAACTGTCCAGACTATCTAGCAATGACACAAGAACTTCATCAATGATAACCTGTACAAAGGCCCTGTGGGTGTAGGAGTGGCACATAAGCCTTGGCAGTGACTGTGGTGGTTTGAAAAAATGGCCCTCAAAGGAATTGGCACTAGTAAGAGGTATGGCCTCGTTGGAATAGGTGCGGTCTTGTTGGAGGAAGTGCATCACTGTAGAGGTGGGCTTTGTGACCTCATACATGAGTGAGACAGACTACTTCCTGTTGCCTCCATAAGGTGAACCCTGTGGTGTTTACACAGTAGGAAACAATGTCGCTCATGACCACTATCTGCTCTGAACCCTCAGGAAGCAACTGAAGTGTGTTCTATTGCTTTATTATTTAAGTGATAACCAAAAAATGTAAAATAAAATGTCATATGCATTTCACACCATCACTCTTCACAAGTGGTTCCAAGCTTGTTTGATTGTGAGGTTGTTAGAAAGACATGGCTTGAATTTTAAAACTTTTTCCTATCATGAAATACTTGTTTTATTTGTTAGGTCATGTTCACGATTTTTTATTTCTGCAATTATGTTCTAATGAATTGTGTGCATGCCAACTTACTCAAGTAAAAAGATGCAGCTTGCTCTGGAATGTTAATCTTTTAGAAAGGTTTTTGACTCATTTGCAACCATGGTACAATATAGCATAACATCCATTTGTTTTCAGTCAACAGTTTGATTTTTGTCATAATAAATACTCTTCCAATATGACAAAAAGATGTAGCACTCTCAGCGACTTCACCAGCAAAATGTGTGCATGCATGCCACCATGTCCCACCATGATGATAATGGACTAAAGTTCTGAACACAAAGTGAGCCACCCAATTTAATGTTTTCTTTAATAAAAGTTATATGGTCATGGTGTCTCTTCACAGTAATAGAAACCCTAACTAAGACAGTGACCATCAACTACATGAGGCAGCTTCAGAAGCCAAAGAATCTGCCAGCACCTGCTCAGAGCTCTCAGATTCAGCAGTCATCCATCCACAGGAACCATGTCATCCCTGGTTTCAGGAGGCAGGGCTGTCTGTCCTCACGTCTCCACAGCCTGAGCTAGGCGTGTGTCTGTCAGTCACTCCCACCTCCACTACTGTCCCTCAGGCTGCCTACCAACCAGTGCATCCAGGGCACCATGACACATGCTTGATGATTTTGATCCCCACCATAGCTCAAACTCAGAGAGTAGAGCTCCTGGTTCTAGCACTGTGAGACATGAAGCATGTAGAGGTCAGATTGTGCCTATGTTCCATGTATTATATAGGACAGTAGTTTTCAGAGTGTGCCTTGCCCTAAGTGACTCCATTTCACATAACAGTGGTTTGCTTCATTTGAAAAGCAAATGCTGAGACAAAATGACTCTTTACCTTATATGTCCAAGTGTCTAGCATAGAGAATAAACATATTTTAATAAATGACATATTAATACAAATAAATTATTTCTAAATATAACATATCCAGTCAGGAACACCTAGACCCGTGCTTGTTTGAAGACCTTCTCCAAGATAACAAGCTTTTATGTCCAAACCACAGAACAATGACTGCTGCAGTGCCTTCTTGGATCATACTCTGAGCCATCATCAGGTCACCTGATGTATGTATCACTAGATTCCAAGCCAGCAAACTCTCAACTCTGTCCCCAGGTCTTCTGCTTGTCATGTTCAGCCCAAATTGATGTGGCTCACTTGAACTCACAATTGTTCACTCCCCTTATGCCTGAAGTCAGTCTGTGCTTTGAAGCAATCTGCCCCTTTAGCCATCTCTATATCTTGAACTGATACCAAGCCTTGAAACAACTGTGTATTTTGGCCAGCCTGTTCCAGAATAGTTCTCTCTGCATGTGCATATGCTATGTGATTTTGCCTTCCAAAATCCATACATATGCACTAGTGTGCATGTGCATACTCACATACACACACACACACACACACACACCCCTCATGCTCATGCATATATGCATAAGAGATGTGGTAATTGTAGTCATGTATTCTAACTCTGAGCTTACATAATATCATAATATGCCTTTGAGGTAAGAGAAATCTGACCCTCATCTGTTCCCTTCATCCTTTATGAATGAATTATGAATAGCAACATTTATACTCTATTCAATTGGGCTCATTTGTTTCTTAGGAATTGGATATGTAATGGGAGTGTATATAATCAGTTAAGTCTGCTTCTCATTGGGTCCATAGATAATCAAAGTAATATGTAGTGTTCATCTGGAAGGAATCTGCCTGTGTCCACAAAGTTTAATACAATCTGTAAGTGTGTTGTGCTGTGTCATAATGTAGTCTGTGCGTCCATCAATTCACTATTGCTGTACCTTCTACAGGAAAGAAGAACATTTCGAAATGTCTTCCAAAGATGACCCTGTTACAATCAAAATGATAGAAAGAAATCCCAATGACCTTCCTGGAATGGACACCAGTGACAGGAAGACATTGACAGGAAAAGCTGTGTTAAGTTTTCATAACATCAGCTATCAAAAGAAAGTGCAGAGTGGTTTTCCATTTCTTAAAAAACGTTGGGTGATAGATAGACTATCAAATATCAGGTATGTACATGAACTAAGGAAACAAATATATTGAACAACTTTTTCTAACAAGCAGACTTTCTCTATTATTAATAATGTGTGTGCATTTGTGTGTATGGATGTGTTACTGTGTATATGTGTGTATATAATTGTATCTGTGTGCATGTTCACATGTGCAGGTGTGTAGATGCATTGACACATTGTGGCACAAGGCCGGAAAAGACAACTTTGTATCACTAGATACAACCACTGTGTTGCAGACAGACTGTCTCATTGTCCATTGAAGTATATGACAGGCTAGCAGCCTCCAAGTGTCCTGGGATTCTCTTGACTCTGTCTCCCATCTCTCCCTAGAACATGGAGTTACAGGTGCTCACAACTGCACCCAACTTTAAGTGAATTCTGGATGTTTAACTTAGGTCTTCACCCTTGGACAGCAAGTGCTTTACTCATTGAACATTCCCCCAGCCTCATCTTCACATATATGCAGATAGACTCATGATCACATAATGAGATGGAGACTAAAAAATTCATAATGGATTAATGACACAGATCTTGACAAACACTTAGGCATATTACAAAAACAAAACAAACAAAAAGCAATTCTGAATAATTGTTGTAATTCAATAAAATTAAGGCTGAAAAGTAATATAAAAGGAATACTGTTAAAAATCAAGTGACATGAAGGAATATTACAAATTTAAATACTACAAATTTGAAAATATAAAATTATTTTGTGCATATCTATATATACATCCCCTACAAACCTTTCCTGAGAGTTTATAACAGGCTGTCTGGGGCAGTTACAAGTGATGAGATGGAAACAATGAGGAAGTCCCAACAGCAGAAAGTCCCGGTCCTCATGTATTTGCTCAAAATTCACTAAGAGCTACAAAGAGCTAAAAACCAATAATTCACACATTGTCCCAAGACACAGAGAAGCCATGCTTTCAACAAAATTTAAGGACAGAGCACACACCAAGAATTTATCCAGCTCAGTCTGCTTAGACTCTTCCTCCTGACTCCAACCATCCCCTCTGTTCTTGGGCACTGGTCGCTTCTTCTCCTCCACCTACAACCTCCATCATTTTCTTACCAAGAGCTAAGTTTTCTTTAAGAAAATGCCTTTTTTCAAGCTGGATATTATTAACTACTCTGAATCATTTTTCTGAAATAACTTGTACCTACTCATCAATGATTACGTCCTCTCCTTGAGGGATGACTCCCAACTCTAAACCGAGCATATTCTAATCTCTTTGTCAGGAAAGGAAATTATCATTTTATGTGTCTGTATTTGACTTTTCTATTTTGATTCAGAGGGTTTTGTTTTGTTGTTTTGAGTATTAAACTTGGTAATGCCCTCCTTCACTCTGGAGCACTTCTTTCTTTTGTTTGGATTTCTACTTAGCATGAATGGATTTTTATTTGATTCTATTTTAATAGTAAGAACACATCTACTGATAATCCCATGACTCGTTGGCTTCCTGTGATGAGGTTTACTAGACAGCAAGTAGGGCTATATGAAGATAATGACAAACATTAGCAAGAAGTTTTTATGTACTTGACACATACAGGGCATGTGTAGATGTAATGGAGTCTTCATGACAGCCTGCTTGTTGCTTCAAGGACACTAAACTTAGATGCACCATGTTTCAAAAAACAAGTCAATTAAATAATAAACAGGGGATTTTGTGATATCTGAACCATTTTTAATGAGTTCCCACTAGCAACTGTCATCTCTTATAAATAATAGACCACTATTAATATTTTATTTTTCTATGAGTATTTGTTTATTGTCTGTATAAAGTTTCATCCAACTTCCACAACATTTTCAGTGTAGACAATGAGGTAATATAATTTCTTTTAAATAGAAAAATTAGTCAGTTTGATTTTGTGTCTGCAGTGGGATCATGAAGCCTGGCCTCAATGCTATCATGGGACCTCAGGACGGGAGCAGATCTTTGTGAGTATAACAGAAAGCATGTGCAAGCTCTTTGCATCCAGTTTCCCTGCTGTAAAACCACCTCTATAGTTGCCTAAGTATTTGTGAGTATATGTGTGTGAGTCTGAGTCTGTCCCATGTGCTGTGGATAATGTGCAGGATGGTGCATTCTGATTTTCTACCACCATCATAAAGTCTTACTGGGTCTCTTTACTGATGGGAAATGATAGAGCAATTGGCATATGGTATTGGATCTCATTGGTATTCAATGCGGGGAAAATATTATTAAAGTTAGGAAGATGAAGAAGTTTTCTGGAGACAGAAAAACTTCACCAGGACTGATTTTCAAAATTCAGCAAGACTTTACCTGTTTTAGTCCCCAAGATCAGATAGCATGGAGGGGTGGTCATGTGGTTCATGTCTTGCAGTTATAATTCTGGACTGTATTAGAGAGCACATGCTGAAAAGAAAGGGGTGTGTGTGTGTGTGTGTGTGTGTGTGTGTGTGTGTGTATGATTTCAGTTAAACTTTTGAGAGGAATAATTTTTATTCTGAGTGACTGAACAGGGATAGCTGTTACTGAAAGGAGAAAGTAAACTACACAACATATATAACCCTTTGTAGGCTGTTAGATGTTTTAGCTGCAAGGAAAGACCCACGTGGATTATCGGGAGATATTTTGATAAATGGAAAACCTCGACCTGCTAATTTCAAATGTGCTTCTGGTTATGTCCCACAAGTAAGTGTTGGTAGGTTTGTAATTTTAGATTTCCTCTGCCTGTGTATGATTAGATGCTCAACTTGTGGGTTTCTGTGTTTCCAGTTCATTATACGACATATTTATAGGCCCAACTTTCTCTACATCAGTGTCTCTACACCAGACTCATTAGCCTGAGGCTGACATTATTAAATAGGAAGATGGGGAGGGGTTGGAGTATGATATCTGTGGTACAGTATCAACAATTGCAGCTGTGATCTAATTCTACAAAGGACTGCTGTTGTCCAACCTTGCCCTTCCTCCATCTTTCTCCACTGCTCAGATGTTTTATGCAAATAATTGCAGGTAGCAGTCACCAAAATTCCTGAGCTCTACATGGAAAGCAAATAGGAAGGATGGTTGAAAATGATTGCATCAGGCTATGTAGTTCAAATTAGTAATACTGAAATACTGTTTTATAGTAGGGTATTAGATAGAGTGTTGTTTTTGTTGTTGTTCTTTTGATTTAGTATATTAACAGAACCAGAAAAGATATCTCTCAGAGGTGGGCCCCAGTAGTGTTAACACCATAGGCAACTTTTCTGTGAAGACCTGACATTTAGTGCCAAGTTCATTATTGTTTCTTTTTTATTTTTATAGTAGTTATTTAGAAACAATCTTATTATACACATCAGTCACCCTGTTCCCTCTCCCTGCCATCCTCCCATTCCCCTCACAAACTCCCCCTACCCACTACCCACCCACTTCCCAAGGATGATGAGGCCTTCCATAGGGGATCGCCAAAGTCTGTCACATCGTTTGGGGCAGGGCCTAGGTTCTCCTCTGTGTATTTGGGCTGAAATAGTATCTCTCCATAAAGAATGGGCTTCCAAAGTCCATTTGTGCACTAGGGATAATACTGGTTTCACTGCTAGAGGTCCCATAGACTGGCCAGGCCTCCTAACTGGCACCCACATTCAGAGGGCTTGGTTCAGTCCAATGCTGCTTCCCCAGCCTTACGACTAGGCAACATGTGCTTTTACTAGGTCAGGTCAGCTGTTTCTGTAGGTTTCTCCAACACAGTCTTGACTGCTTTGCTCATCCCCACCCCCTTGACAACTGGATTCTAGGAGTATTGCTCAGTGCTTAGCTGTGAGTGCCTGCTTCTCCTTCCATCAGCTACTGGATGAAGTCTCTAGAATGGCAATTAAGGTAGTCATCAATCTCATTATAGGAGAAAAGCATCAAATGTGGCCACTCCACTCCTGCCTAAATTCTTGGTTGGGGTCATCTCTGTGGATCTCTGCACATTTCCATAGTGCCAGATGTCTCCTTAACTCTATACTGCCTCCCTCTATTAAGGTATCGCTTTTCTTGCTCTCCTCTATTCCTCCCCTATTCAGTCTTCCTGATCCCTCTTGTCCTCTCCCCTCCTCTTCTCCTCTTCTCCATTCTGTACCTGGCTCCCCTCTCCCCCCATGCTCACAATTTACTCAGGAGTTCTTGTCCCTTTCACCTTCTTCAAGGGCCCATGTATTTCTATCTTAGGGTCCTCTTTGGTTCCTAGTTTATCTGGAGGTGTGGTTTATAGCTGGTGGTCCTTTGCTCTATGTCTAAAATTTGTATATGAGTGAGTACATACCATGTTTGTCTTTTTGTGACTGGGTTACCTCACTCAGGATGGTTTATTCCAGTTCCATTCATTTGCCTGTGAATTTCAAGATTCCGTTGCTTTTTCTACTAATACTACATTGTGTAAATGTATATTTTCTCCATCCCTTCTTCAATTGAGGGGCATCTAGGTTGCTCCCAGGTGTTTGACTATTACAAACAATGCTGCTATGAACATTGTTGAACATATGTCCTTGTTGTATGAATGTGAATCATTTGAGGATATGCCCAAGACTGAATTTGTTGGATCTTGAGGCAGACTGCATCCCATTTTACTGAGGAATCTCCATACTGATTTCCAAAGTGGCCACATAAGTTTGTACTCCTACCAGCACTGGAGGAGTGTTCCCCTTTGTCCACATCCTCTCCAGCATAAACTTTCATTGGTGTTTTTTATTTTAACCATTCTGACAGGAGCAAAATGGTATCTCGGAGTTGTTTTGATTTGCATTTTCCTGATGTCCAAGGATGCTCAGCAATTTCTTAAGTGCCTTTCAGTCATTTTAGATTCCTCTATTGAGAATTTTCTATATAGCTCTGTACCCCATTTTTTTAATTTGGTTGTTTAGTGTTTTGGTGACTAGCTTCTTGAGTTCTTTGTGTATATTAGAGATTAGCCCTCTGTCAGACATGGGGATGGTGAAGATTTTTTACCATTCTGTGGGCTGCCTTTTTGTCTTGTTGACTGTATTCAGGAGGTCCCATTTATTAATTGTCAATCTCAATGTCTGTGCTAATGGAGTTATGTTCAGGAAGTGATCTCCTGTACTAATTCATTCAATGGTACCTCCCACTTTCTCTCCTAAGATGTTCAGAGTGGTTGAATTTATGTTGAGGTCTTTGATCCATTTGGACTTACATTTTGTGCATGGCAATAGATAAGAATCTATCTGCAGTCTTCTACATATCATCATCCAGTTATGCCAGCTCCATTTGTTGAAGATGCTTTCTTTTTTTTTCCATTGTATAATTTTAGCTTCTTTGTCAAAAATCAGGTATTAATAGGGGTGTGGGTTAATATTGGGGGTTTCAATTCATTTCCATTGGTCTACCTGTCTATTTTTGTGCCAATACCAAGCTGTTTTCAGGACTATAGCACTATAGAGCTTGAAGTCGGGGATGGTAATGCCTCCAGAAGTTCCTTTATTGTACAGGGTTGTTTTGGCTATCCTGAGTTTTTTGTTTTTCCATATAAAGTTGACAATTGTTATTTCAAGGTCTGTGAAGAATTATGCAGGGATTTTGATGGTGGTTGCATTGAATCTGCAGATTGTTTTGGGCAAGATTGTCATTTTTACATGTTGATCCTACCTATCTAAGAGCAGGGGAGATCTTTCCATTTTCTGGTATCTTCTTTAATTTCTTTCTTTAAAGACTCAAAGTTCTTACTATACAGGTCTTTCACTTGTTTGGTTAGCCTTACCCCAAGATATTTTATGTTGTTTGTGACTCTTATAAATGGTAACATTTCTGTGATTTCTTTCTCAGCCCATTATTGTCTGTATATCATAGGGCTACTGATTTTTTTTAGTTAATCTTGTATCCTGACACTTTGTTGAAGGTCAGCTGTAGGAGTTTCTGTGTAGAGTTTTTGTGTCACTTGTGTAAACTATTCTATCATCTGCATATAGTGAATGTTTGATTTCTTCCTTTCCCATTTGTATTCTCTTGATCTCCTTTCATTGTCTTACTGCTCTAGTTAGAACTTCAATATTGAAGATATATAGAGAGGGTGGAGCCTTGTCTTGTTCCTGATTTTAAAGGAATAGAAGTTTCTCTCCAATGTTGGCTGTTGGTTTACTGTATATTGTTTTTATTATGTTCAGGTATGTTAATGTTATCCCTGATCTTTCCAAGACCTTTATGATGAAGGGGGGTTGAATTTTCTCAAAGGATTTTTCAGCATCTAGTGAAATGATCATGTGGTTTTTCTTTTGCAGTTTCTTTATATGGTAAATTACATTGATAGATTTTTCATATGTTGAACCATCCCTGCATCCCTGGGCTGAAGCTTACTTGATCGTGGTGGATAATTTCTCTGATATGTTCTTGTATTCAATTTGTCAGTATTTTATTGAGTATTTTTGCATCAATGTTCATGAGGGAAATTGGTCTGTATTTCATAGTTGTATCTTTGTTTGGCTTGGGTACCAAGGTAATTATAGCCACTCAAAAAGAGTTTGGAAATGAACCTTCTGCTTCTATTGTGTGGAATAATTTAAGGACTATTGATATTAGCTGTTCTTTGACTTTCTGATAGAATTCTGCAGCGTAACCATCTTGTCCTGGGCTTTTTTTTTGGTTGGGAGACGATTGATGACTGCTTCTATTTCATTAGGAGTTATAGTTCTATTTAAATTGCTTATCTGTTCTTGATTTAATTTTGGTAAATTATATCTATCCTGAAAATTGTCCATTTCCTTTAAATTATTGAATTTTGTGGAGAACAGTTTTCAAAGTGTGACCCGAAGATTCTCTGGATTTCCTTTGTGTCTGTTGTTATGTCCCCCTTTTCATTTCTGATTTTACTGATCTGCATACTCTCTCTGTGTATCTTTTGCTTAGTTTGGATAAAGGTTTATCTATCTTGTTGGTTTCCTTGAAGAACCATTTCTTTGTTTCATTGATTCTTTGCATTGTTTTCTTTGTTTCTACTTTATTGATTTCAGTCCTCAATTTGATTTTTTTGCTGGCATCAACTCCTCCTGGGTGAGTTTCCTCCTTTTTGTTCTACTGCTTTCAGTTGTGCTGTTAATTCTCTAGTGTGACTATTCTCCATTTTCTTCATGTGGGCACTTAGAGCTATGAACTTTCCTCTTTGCACTGCTTTCAAAGTGTCCCATAAGTATGGGTATGTTGTGTTCAATTTTTCATTAAATTCTAGGAAGTCTTTAATTTATTTCTTTATTTCTTCCTTGACCCAGGAATGGTGCAATTGTACATTGTTCAATTTCCATAAGTTTTTAGGGTTTCTGTAATTTATGTTGTTGTAGAATTTTAAGTTTATACTGTGTTGATCCAATAAGACACGTGGATATATTTTCCAATTTTTTGTATCTGATGAGGTTTGCTATGTTGTGCAGTATGTGGTATATTATAGAGAAAGTTCCATGTGGCACTGAGAAGAAGGTATATTCTTTTGTGTTTGGATGGAATGTTCTATAGATGTCTGTTAAACACAATTGGGTCAAAACTTCTGTTAGTTCTTTGGTTTCTTTGTTAAGTTTCTGTCTGGTGATCCTGTCTAGTGGTGAGAGTACGGTGTTGAAGTCTCCCACTATAAGTGTGTGAGGTTTTATGTGTGATTTGAGCTTTTAGAAATGTTTCTTTTATGAATGTCGATGACTTTTTTATTTGGGGCAGAGCCATTC